TGGCCCTGAACCTGGTCTCCTGTGTCTGAATGTGCCTCCGCTGACACAGTCTCCTCACCAGCCCTGAGGTCCAGGACTGGGCAGAAGTGGTGACGACAGGAGGCAGCACAGGGCAAGCAGAAGAGCTGCCTCAGCACTGGGTGAGCAGAAGAGCGACCTCAGCCCAGGGCAGGCAGAAGAGCGGCCTCAGCCCAGGGCGAGTAGAGGAGCAGCCTCGATGCCTGTGAGAATGAAGGAGTGGCACCCATGAGAACGGAGGAGCGGCCACCACTGGCGGTGACCGCACTTCCTAACTCCATTTCAAGTGTTGTTTCGCTTTGGCTTTTCTTCAGAGATTCTATTTATTGAATTCTAATTTTATGTCTTGAATTATTTTGCTTATTTCATTCAGCTGTTTTGTATGTATTTAAAAATATTTTATTTATTACTTTTATTTTATATGTATGAGTGTATTGCCTGCATGTAGGTAGGTGTACCTGTGCTGTGCAGTGACCCCAGAAGCCAGAAGAGGACAGATTCCCCTGGAGTTACAGACGGTTGTTAGCTGCCATGTGGGTCCTCTGGAAGAGCAGTCAGCACTCTTAACTGAGCCATCTCTCCAGCCCAGTGTTTTGTGTTTCTGAAGTCTTCATTTAATCTTTTTTTCATATTCTCTTTGAGTTCCTTGAACATATCTGTAATTGCTATTTTGAAATCATTGTCTTGTGTGTTAGCTAGGTTGCCTTTCTTAGGAAACATTATGATGGGGGTGTTGCTAATTTCTGGAAGAGACATACTGTCTTGGTTATTTTTGCTGTTTGTATTTTTTTATATTATATATATATTATATATATATATTTTTTATGTGTATGAGTGTTTTGCCTGCATGTATGTAAGTGCACCACATACATGCAATGCCTACAAAGGCCAGAAGAGGGATCCCCTGGAACTGGAGTCATGGACGTTTGTCAGCCACAGTGTGGGTTCTGGGAACCAAACGCAGGTTCTCTGGAAGAGCAGTTTCTTGGTATGGATAGCTGATCTCACCTTTGTAGAGTCAATATTTTACTTTTTGTTTGCTCTTTCCCTGACTTGTCAGGTTGTGGCCCAGCCCAGTGGTGCTTGGTGTTCAGCCTTGTGGCCCTTCTGTGTTGATGTGTGAATGAGGTGTAAGAAATAGTCTCAGTTCAGCTAGGGATAGCTGCAACTTTTGAGCCTGAGGTTTCAGGACAGGCTGTATGTGGTCTCAGAATGGCAGGGTGGCTGCTAGATGAGCTCGTAGGTGGACAGGTTGGTATTGATTCTTGATTGCGTGGATGGGATGGTTCCAGTTCATTGGTGACCAAGAAAATGTGCAAATGTATTTCTTGAGTAGGTCTGTCTAGGCTAATGCATTGGTTGCACAATACCAGCTGTGCCTGGGCATGTAGGGGTGACTGCAAGAACAGGTAAAGTTTTGTAGAGCTGACCAAGCTGGACTGTGCAAAGGTGGTGTGACTTGACTAGGCCTTGGAGCTAGGATGGCAGACAGGAAATGCTGGAGTTGAATTCACTGGAGTGGCAGGTTGATGAGGAGTGGGGGTGAAAAGGTAATCTGAGCTAGGCCTGGGAGGGTGGGATGGTAGACAAGGAATGCTAGGGTTGTGGAACTCACCAGAGTGGCGGGTGCATGTGGTGCATGACCTGAGCTAGGCCTGGGAGATAAGACAGCAGATAGGGAATGTTCCACCATGTAGTTTTGATTTGCATCCTGATGGATAAAGATATTGAACATTTTTTTTATATACTTATTTGCCATTTGTACTTCATTTTTGAAAGCTGTCCATTCAGTTCATTTTCTTCATTACTGGTTAGATAATCTGAGATTTGTTCACTGTTTAATTTTTTGAGTTCTTTGTATGTTCTGGCTATTAATCCCCTGTGAGATGTGTACATCTGGCAGAGGTTTCCTTTCATTCTGTGTGCTGTCTCTTCACTCAGCTGACTGTCTTTGGCTGTGGAGAAGCTGCTCAATTTTATGTCTTCCCATTTTTCATCTCTTACTATTGGTTCCTGAGCTGTGAGAATCCTTTTCAAGAAGTCCTTACCAATGCCTAAGTCTTGAAGTATCTTCTCTGTATTTCCCCTGAGCAGTTTCAGAGTCAGGTCTCACATTTTTAATTGATTTTTTAATAGCATGAGAATAGGATATAGTTTTATTCATCTACAAGTGGATATCCAATTATCCAGCACCAGTTATTGAAGACTTTTTCCCAATGTATGTTTTGAACAGTTTTGTCAAGAATCAGATAACTGGGGCTGGAGAGATGGCAGTTATGGGTGTTTACTGATCTTTCAAAGGACCTGGGTTTGGTTCCCAGCACCCACATGGTGGCTTAGACACTCTCTCTGATCTCCCTAGTACATTATACATACATATATGCAGGCAAAAAATGTACGCATAGATTAAATCATTTAAAAAAGAATCAATTAGCTGTAGCTGTATGTATTTGTGGGTCTTCTCTACCATTGGTCTGTCTCTGTTTTTCTGTTACTGTAGCTCTCTAGCATGATTTGAGATCGGGTATTGTGATGCATTGCTCTTTTTGCTCAGGATTGCTTTGCTATTCAGGGTCTCCTGCACTTCTGTGATATTTTTAGGATTTTTTTTTCAATTTCTCTGAAGACTGTCACTGGAAATTTTTATGGGAACTGCATTGAATCTGTAGATCACTTTCAGTATCATAGCCATTTTCTACAATGTTAGTCTGCCAGTCCATGAATGGGAGATCTTTCTATCATCTGTCATTTCAATTCTTTCTTCTGGGTTTAAAAGCTTTATAGAGTTTTTTTTTTTTTAATTTTCTTTGTTAGGGTTATTCTTAGGCATTGTTTTTCAGATTATTGTGAATGGAACTTATTTTTTGATTTTTCAGTGTTATTTGTGTTAGCGTATAGAAAAGCTGCTAATTTTTATATATTGACTTTGTATTATACTTTGCTGAAAATGTTTATCAGATCTAAGGGCTTTCTGGTGGAGCCTTTCAGGTCTTTAAATATAGGATCAGATGGTCTTATCTGATCATTTCACTTCTTTGCTACTTGCATCCTTTGTATTTATTTCTCTTCCCTTATGATGTAGCTAAGACTTCAAGGGCTATTTTAAACAAATGGTGAGTGTGCACACCTTTGTGTCACTCCGGACTTAAAGGAAATGCTTTCCAGGCTCCTCATCTAGTACAACATTGGCTGTACATTCACTGTAGATAGCCTTCATTATGTTAAGGTGCCTTCCTTTCTTCCTAGTTTCTTTAGGGCTTTTATCATGAACGGATGTTGAACTTTACCATCTACCTCACCTACTTGTTAAAATCATGTGATTTCTGTCCCTGACTCAATATATGAACTGTATTAACACATTGACTTAAGTACATTGAACCACCCTTGAATCCCAGAATGAAGCCAACTTGGTTACTCCCATGCCCTTTAAATCAGCTTTATATTGCTTATAACATGTAGCAGGATATAATTGCTATATAAATAGCTGTTATATTGTATTATTTAGGGAGTAATAAGAAAACAAGTCTGTACATATTCAAGACAAACACAATTTAAAAATATTTCCATCTATTATTGGTTGAATGCTTGGCTATGCAGCCCATGGATACAGATGGTGGACTGTATTATCATTTTAAGTGATTATTATAAAACCTTACTAATGAAAGATTTTACATTTTTTATTATGTCTTTGAAATCTGGTTCATTGTTTACTTATACAACCTCATGTTGGACTGGCTCCATTTTGAGGGCTTTGTAGCATGTACCTTAGCTCTCAAGCACACTGAGAAGAGCTGCCCGCCAGTCAACCCTTTAATGACAGGTTTTTTTGTTGATTCATCTGTGTATTCATCCATAGCACTTTTCACAATTCCTTCAAAACAGTTGATGATCAAAGACGTGTTAAAGAATATTATTACAATATATACTTTAGAAAATTGTGTGACTGTATGTATGAGTGCAGGACCCATGTGCCGTGGTTCGTGTGGAGAGGTCAGAGGACAGTTTTGGGAGTCATTTCTCATCTTCTATCTTATGGAGGTGGGGTCTGTCTTGCTTCCAAGGCTACACTGGGTATTCCAGGCTAGCTGGCCTGAGAGTTTCTGGATGGCTGTCCTATCTCTGCCTCCCATCTTGTGTAGGGAGGAGTTCTGGCCTTGTAAATGCACGTTACTGTGTCTCACTTCCTGTGTGTTCTGGGAATGGAACTCAAGTTGTTGGTCTTGGACTTGCACCTGCTGAGCCACCTCCCTGCCCCTAATGTATTCTGTTTTGTTTTGAAACAAGATCTCACTGTGTAGCTCTGGCTGGCTGACCTGGAACTCAATTATGTAGACCACACTGACTTTGAACTCACAGTGATCTGCTTGCCTCTGCTTCCTGAGAGCTGGAATTAAAGGTGTGCCTCACCAGCCCCGGCTCCAATGTGTTCTTTTTTTTTAAGATTTATTTATTTTTATTTTATGTGCATGAGTGTTTGGCTGCATATAGGCGTGTGCGCCATGTGCATGCCTGGTACCCGAGGCCAGAAGAATGTGTTAGATCCCTTGGAACTGGAGTTGCAGGTGATTGTGAGCTGCCATTTAGGTGCTAGGATTCGAACCCAGATCCTCTGGAAGAGCAACAAGTACTTTTGTTGCTCCAAGCCCTCCAGTGTTTCTTACGTACTGTTTTTCATGACCTTCTACTTCGTTAGATGGCAGAATATATTTTTGTGAACTAGATCAAGATTGCAATAATCTTTTATATTTTCTTATGTAATCCAGGCCGCCTCTTGCCTCAGCACTACAAGTCCTGATGTGCACCACCATGCCCAGCTTTTGTAATAATCATTTAAAAGTATTATAACAGTACTGTACTCATGAAAGATGTACATTTAATATTTGTGGTCCTGTGTGTTGCTAAATTGAGTATTTTTTCTACATTCTAAATAATAGACTTACCATTGTATATAACTGGAAGATTTTCTGTATTATGTATTCTAGGATTACATTCTTCTGTCCTATAAAACTGCCAAACTTGGGGGCTGGAGAGATGACTCAGCGATTAAGAACACTGTTCTTACAGAAGACCCGGGTTCAAATCCCAGCACCCACACGGCAGCTAAGAACTATCCGTAACTCCAGTCCCAGGGGATCCAACAGCCTCTTCTGACCTCCGCAGGCACTGCACGACACCAGTGCACTTACCTACATGCAGGAAACACACGCATACACATAAAATAAAAATAATAAATAAAATATTTTAAAAAACCTGCCAGACTCACAGCTTTCAGAATCATTCCTGATCAGAGGCTCTCAGGAAATCTATAATGTAGAGGATGCCTGTTCCTTCTGCAGAGGTTCACGTTCAGCTGTACTTTCTCAGCTGAGTCTTGGTATGTATGGGTTGGGCAGTGAATCTACTCTGGCCTGGGTCTGGAGTTTTCAGCAGAATACCTTACTAAAGCACTATCCTTAGATTTAGGCAAATGCTTTATAGATATGAAACTCATTTTCCCCATTTCAGAGATTTAAACTCTCATGAACTACGAGGATGAAGGCAGGCAAAAGAAAGCAGGGTCATTTCCTGGAAGAGACAGATAAAGACTTCTGGTATGCTAGGTGTGCACCCATAATCCCGGCACTTGAGAGGCCGAGGCAGGAGGGTTGTGAGTTTGTGGGCTGCATAGGCTGTATACCGTAACCATGTTTGAAAAAGGAAAAAAAGAGAAGACTCTTCTAAGGCCTCGATGTGCTTTTACAGCAGGGAACTATGCACGTGTATATGTCATTCCTTACTGTGACTTTTAAAATGACCTGTAAGGGCCAAAGAGATGGTTCATCAGGTAAAAGTGCTTGCTTCGAAGCCTAATGACCTGACCTGAGTTCAAGCCCCAGAACCCATTTAAAGGAGAGAGAGAGAGAGAGAGAGAGAGAGAGAGAGAGAGAGAGAGAGAGAATAATAAGTTTAAAATGGCCTATAGATTCTTTCATAAGAAATATAGAAGTTTGGGCTTGGTAGACAGCTCAGCAATGGATGGGGTGAAGATAAGGCGGATCCCTGTGGCTTCCTGGGCAGCCGAACTAAACTGATCGGTGAGCTCTAGGGGTATGAAAGATCCTGATTCAAAAATTAAGGTGAAGAGTGATTGATGAAGACATTCTGATGTCAATCTCTGTTCTCTTTGTGTGTACTCAAAGATGTTCATAGAAATGTAGCTTGTAACTTTGAAATGTCTACCTGTTCAAATTATACACAGATTTACTAAATAAATTCTTATATAGCCTCTTGGTGAAACACTATGCAATTATGAAAATGATAGTATGGGCTGGCAAGATGGCTCAGTGGATCCAAGACATTTGCTGTCAAGCCTGATAACCTGAGTTCAATCCCTGACTCCTGCAAGTTGTACCCTGACATCACATGCATGTTATGGTATACACACACACACACACACACACACACACAGAGATTTATACAGACACATACACAGACAATAAATGAATAAATCAATGAATAAAATGATGTATGATTATTTTTATACATACGAAAAATGTTAAGTGAGAAAAGATAGTTATTAGATAAGAGCACAGTCATGCCTCGTTTTAAAAATTCTGTCTACATATTTCTTGTTAGCATGTGGACTCTATATGCGAGCTGGATACTGCCTTGCTTATTGCAGTTATCTAGTGTCTAGAATAATTGCTGGCACCAAGTAGCACTCAGTGCCTGTTGACTATATCTGGAAGGACAGATACAAAATCCTATTTCTCCTTTGAGTTTTTTTATTATTACAGAATTTATATCAGATGTTCCAGCTTATTAAGGCAACATAAAATGTAAAATTCAGTAAGATTTAAAAAGAAGAGCAGATCCCAGGGAATTTGACACAATCACACACACGCACACGCACACGCGTGCACACACACACACACACACACACACAAGTTAAATCACCAAGGAAGAGGGTGAGGAAGCAGGGTCAGCTTTGAGCCACTGTGCCATAGCAAACACATTTTCATGGCTGCTTGGTGGCCATGCAGAGGTTAGTAATGGGGGTGGTGGATGATAACCACCCAGGTAGGCTTCTTATTTATTATTTTAGTGTGTGGGAGGGGGCGTGCACAACAGTGTCTGGTGTTGTTTCTCAGGTGCTTGTTCACTGTGTTTTTTTTTTTTATCATAGTTTTTCATTGGCCTGGAGCTTGCAGCTAGGCTAGGCTGACCAGTGGGCCCCAGCGATCTGCCTGACTCCACCTTTTGGCATAGGATCACAAGTGCATGTCAGGACACACAGCCTTTTAGTTTGGATGCTGGAGGTTAAACTCAGATCCTCATATATAGGAAGTACTTTACTGATTGAGAGATCTCCCTAGTCTTTTTTTT